CCGGAAACCGTCGTTCCGCAGAGCTTGACTGGCCAGGTTCGGACCCACCCTTTGTATTGAAAAGGACAACATTTCGCGCTTCCGCTCTCTCAAACACGCACTTTGTACGAGACTTCCTTCCAAAGTGCATGTCGAACACCTGCAATACGAAGCAATTCTGCGAGACTTCCTCCCAACATGTAACTGGAAGACATGATCCAACCAAACATGAAAGTGCCGTTTACATTAGGGGAACGATCCTGAAGTTGCAAAACACAATGAAATTCCAGCCACAACTCATCCACCAGCAACACTTGCAGTCACACTTACAGTGTGGAAACCATCCAGGGGTTGCAAAACACAATGGAATACATCGACACACGAAAGAAACAGGTGAAAACTCTAGTTACAATGAAGGGAAGATTCGAGCACGATCCGAACATGATGCGAGACCGTCCGGAAACCGTCGTTCCGCAGAGCTTGACTTTCAAGATTCGGAGCCACCCTTTGTATTGAAAAACACAACATTTCGTGCTTCCGCTATTTCTCAAACACGCACTTTGTACGAGACTACCTTTCAAAGTGCATGTTGAACACCTGCAAAACCAGAGCTAGAGCCAACTAAAGCTAGAGCTGACTGGAGTTAGAGCCAACTAAAGCTAGAGCTGACTGGAGCTAAAGTGGAGCTAGAGAGCTGACTGGAGTTAGAGCTAACTAAAGCTAGAGCTGAATGGAGCTAAAGTGGAGCTAGAGAGCTGACTGAAACTACAGCTAACTAAAGCTAGAGCTGTTGAAAGTCCGTAACACGGAAGTTTTGCACCCTAAACTTCCTTTGAATAATGGCCATAGCCAAGTAGTTATACGGGGAAACAATGATAGATGTATATTTCAACACATGGGGTAGACCCCGTGTTAATTGCAATGTCCAGAAGTCACGTTATTGTTGTTTGCTCTTATTATTTTCTCAGGCGGTGGGCTCTCTGCAGTGGAAATGTGAACTGTCCAGCTTTCGGTAAGCATCCTTGGTCGAAAGTCACCAGATGTAGTTGTTCCTTTAATTTTGCATTAGATTCCTTCCATGTCCTTTCATTTCGCATTCATGTCCTCTTATTTTCCGTTCATGTCCTTTCATGTTCCTTTCACTTTGCATTCATGTCCTTTGATGTTCCATTCGTTTTGTATTCATGTCCTTTCAGTTTCCTTCAACATGTGATATGTTCAAGCCTCCCAAGCTTTTGCATGTTTTATTTGTTTGTTATCGTTCTGTCATCGTTTTGGAGGCCAGTACAGTACAGGTTGCCATCTTCAGTTTTCATGAACATGTACAGTTCGCTACTTTACTCTTATGGTTTTCTGGGCCAGCAATGCATTATATAGTTGTGTTAAGGTGCATGCCAATACTAAAACGCTGAGTGCGGGGTTGTTTCACTAGCCCACATATTTTTTGCACATGTATATTGTATAGCTGATGTTGGAGGACACAACATCTGTGTTATCCACTGTCAAAAGTACACGTGCATTAAAGAAGGATAACAGCAACACAAAACAAAGAACACATATAAAAACAATGGGGAAAGCAAAGGCAACCGGCAAAAAGAACACATAGTTCATTCCATAAAGCCGTGAAACATCTCAACGCAAACACGCACTCTTCTACACCTCGATTGAGTGTGACTTTAGTCAGAAGGTCCATCTGTCAAGGTACTTGAGTTGGATTTTCTTCTGTGAGCCTTCTTGTATTTCTGCGATCCCTTCTCATCTTTCTTCTGTGACAATTCTTTGTAGAGCCGCTAGCACCAGCCACTCAATGGTCTTCCTCCACGTTCACTCTCCTCGAGGGCCCAAGTCCGTCGAAGGCCTCATTAGTAAGGTCGTCCGCCCATTGATTCTCCTCTCTTTGCCATCCTCAACAAGCACTGCTCAAGGAGCCACCGCCCTATCCTCGCCAAACCTCTGCGTCAAGCCGAATCGGCCACTTCCTGGAGACCAAATGCTCCTTCTTCGGTAGGCCGCCCGTGCTCCGCCCGCCCAGCTGGTCTGCATCTCCTCAGCCCAGCAGGTGTCCTTGGCAGCTCCTGGAACCCCGACGCTCCAGAAACCTCAACGTTCGGTTTACCCGTGGCTTCCTGGACCTCATGGCCGCACGTTCACCCCGTGAAACGACGGGTAAACCGGTTTTTAAACATGACAAGGTCATGAGCAAAACAAAAACAGCAAACAATAACACGGAAGTAGTTCTTGTAGGCTGTTATAAAAAAAAACAATAGAAAACAGTAAGACAACATGAGCAAATGAAGAACATGCATGTTAGAAGAAAACAGGAAACACAGGGCAGCAATAGCAAAACAACAAGGCAACAAAGCAAGAGTTTATCTTGGCGTCCTCATGTACTGCAACTTTGCACTAACCGACGAGTTGGATGAAGCCTGGCATTCTGATCTTTGCAAGGTGGCACGAGTGAAACAAAAACAATTATGCCACTGCCTGTACCCCATCCATCTACATCTGGACATCTACATCTGGACACCCAAAAATCACCTCTTGAAATACTTGGACATCAACTGATGACAAGCTCGGAGAAGCGCGTACGGGATCCGAAAAAGGGATGCTCCATCCAAGGCGGCCAACTCTCCCTCCCACCGGGCCCTCTGTCCAGGCAACACATCGTGTTGAAAGCGAAGCTCGAGAAGGTTGGCACCTCAAGAAGGTTGAAGAAACACCCCGGTGACGCCGATGGCAAAAGCTGGGAGAGTTCAGAGTTCATCGTGCTGCTAGACCGTTGTACCTGACATGTGATCCCAGAAGGCTTGGGACTAGCACCAAGAGAGGTTGAACAGCCCTACCACCAACGAGGATCCTAACGTTCAGGTCTCAACCTCTCTTGGCAATAATGATTCTAGGGGGTTATGATGGTTACAGTATGATATGTTCTCTCCAGTTCACGATGGCTGTTTGGCTGTTTGTTAATTCGTTTTGTGGGAAACAGCACCAATCTGCTGAGGTCCACGTAGATGTTAGACCCCCCCAGGAGTATGATACCTTTTAAGCTCGCGCGTTGTAGGAGTCACATACTGCAAAAAATGACTTGATGTCCATGTAATGCATTCGGCCATTGATCAAGTCTTACAACCACTTATATACTACCTCTCGCACATCGGTCCACGAGTCGATGTTCACTAGATTCACACATGCCCATGGTTCCCCTACATCCAACCACTTGCAAAAGTGCACAAATCTGGCAGATACGTGGTGCACGTATTGATGACGTAATTATGATAAGGTAGGGAGTATAGTTGGTGTCTTTCAAAGGTGTCCCCAAAGGTCATAAACGGTCACACAAAAATGAACAGCACACGAATGAGTATTAATACATCCATAAACATTAGGCCAAAACTTTTCGTTCACTTCCCAACAAGAGGGTGGTATCTCAAGCCTTTGTTGGAAGCAGCAGTTTGAAACTTGTCAGGAGCTGAACATACTTATCATAAACATCCACGTTGTTCATAGTGGGTTGGCATGGGTTGACAAATGTCCGAGCAGTGTGACGTGGGAAGTCCCTCGTCGCAGGAGAACAACCCGAAAATTCATCAAACCGGACCTTTAGCCGATGAACTGTCCTGGAGAGGATGACAGCCGCAGCCTGGCCAACCTGGTTGAAGATGGGTGGCTTCAATGTTCAGATCCTCCATCACTGACATCGGGATGGGTCAAACCTAAAGCCCCGGCCCTAACACCATGTAGCTTGACCTCCCGTCGGTAGGTCAATCGAGGTCTCTCCCGCTTTTTCCGAGGTATTCCCTCCACGTTTCGCACGTCTTCCGCTCGCCTTGGATGCGGCAAGCCTTCTGCACTTCCATCTCCAGCACATTGTCCGGTAGTGGAAGCCAAGACGAGAGCAGTTGGATCTGCTTGCTCCACCTGGACGGATCAAAACCATTGGGATCGAGGAAAGTTTAGTGGGGAGGCCACAGAAGGAAACTCTGGATAGTTCAACCTCCCCAGGCCGTTTTTCCAGAGCCTTTACAATCCATGTCTGGGCTTCGGTTCTATTGAACGCTCGAGATCCACATGATGGCGGATTTTCAAATCGCTGGGAACAGATGGTGGACTTTGATGGCAGATTGGGGAACTTGAGATGCATTTGGGGAAACATACGGTTCATTGGGGTTGATTTGCGAAGACAGGCTCCGCCAGATTTGCTCCAAAAAACAAACAACGGGTTCTGGTCTTTTGGGGGGAACTAAACCAATCCATACAAGTCGTCTGTGACCCATAGCAACCAAAACAACAACCATGTACTGTATATATAAGGATCCAACAGAGACAAACCGGGCCTGCTATCCCTGTTATGATTGTTTTTCCAAAATTGCCAGCATTTTTTCCATAATCTGTCTTGTGCGCGTGCCACTGGCTTCTATCACCAACTCTGACAGCAAAAAACATGTGTTTAGATCTTTCAGCTTCAAAGCTTAGACTGTCAGCTTTTGCACAACTGCTAGACTCAAACATCTCCAAGCACTTAGTAGTCATCTGCTATCGCCACAGAATAAGCCGGATCCGCGATACCAGTAGAATGATTCTATCACCATCTATCATATCAAGCCCTTCTTTTCCTACCACCCTTCTTGTCTCCATGTGTTTTTGGTAGAATGATTCTGTCATCATCTTATCACCAGCCTCCCATCCTACCATATTCATTCGATCACCTTCTAGCACCAAACTCCTCACCTCGAAAAACAACAGCCGACTGAGCCACCGGTGGGCCAAACTCGGCGGCGCCATGCGCCAACGTTGGTATTCCACCTGCGAGAGGCCGCTATACTTCCTCAGTGTGGACTTGGTCTTGGATTGGTCTTGGGTTGGTCGTTTGGAAGCCGAAAATCTGGTTCTTTTTGGGAGAGAAGAGAATTCAGAATAGCTAAAGAATACTCTTTAAGATGCTTAGAACGAATATAGCAACCTGTGGTTAAATTTTGACAGATGGTCTCTTTGGTCACCAGTTTCGAGAAGTTTTGAAAGATGCTTAGGGTTGATTGGACGGAACTCTTCAAGCATGAGTTGTTGCCTCGGTTTCTTACATGCTGGATCTGGGGAGTCCCCCGTTTAAAGACATGTTTATCCTCCATGCAAAAACAGTGTGCTGCTTCGAGATAGCAAGATTTAGGTGCGTCATTTTTTTCCATCCATGTGGTTCTGCTCAGTTAAAAAGTTGGTACTTGGGAAGTAAAGAACATCCTTCAGGCCTTCATATACAAACCCATGAAGGGATTGCGAGGACACAAGCCTCGCCACTGCGGCTTCAGGACGACTGCACAATCAAAGCAGACTCCAACGTTGGGTCAAGCAGCTTCAGTGGAATGCGGCAATGCGCATGTTTGGTTGTGTCTCAATGGTCGCCCCAAAACACTGGGGATGGGGCACACCCAAAGGGGTGAAAAATGGGTGTCTGTTCATATTGGATGAATTCACGAAAATGACTGGGAACACCCAAAATGACACACTTGTACTTCAAAATGCCACTTCATTGGATGAATTCACGACAATCACACACCCAACATCACTTCTCATGAACCTCCTAACGTGTTGGTGGCGTGTTCCAGCGTTCTCCTCCGTTTGTCGCTCTTCATCACCACTCCGTCCTCCGTCCTCGTTCATCAACAAACTGCTAAGTCAGTGGCTTTCTCCGGGAAAACGGTCGGTCATTGACCAAGGATCAAAGCAATCATGGAGCGGTGCACCAGGATGGCGCCCAAAGGCAGAAAAACGATCTCTGAGCCATAGATATTGGCTTCCTGAAACAACTGAGCTTGTGAAAAACTGAGCTGTATATAGATGAGTTACTGGAAGTGGATGGCATGGTTTGCTGGATGACCTTGTTTTCCCTATAAACAGGTTGTTTTCCACTTCCATGATTATTTCAGGGAGTCTATGCCCTAAACCTGAACCCTTTGATAGGTCGAATCTGAAAACATGTTTCATGTGCCTCACGTTTCAGGTGACCTGGCATGAAGTCCCCAGCAGGTTGCTTCTCCCCAGGCACGGTTTCTGGCCCGGTTTCTGTTTTCAACACCAGGCTTCGGCAAAGTCCTGGTTGTAGAGAACCTTGGCTTTCGGCATAGGACCCGAGCCAGTCCCAACGATTGTGAAGCGCAAAGCAAAGCGAGCAGAACCAGCTGGGCCTTTGAACACAGCAGTGCCTTGGTTTGTATTGTCTTTCTCTGGGATGAGCGTTGCCAATAAAAGGGTCACCAATTGCTGGGGCGGTGTCGTCCCCATCGAGAAAGCACCAGCCGTCTGGAAGAGTCTCCCCAACAGCAGTCTGGAAGATTTCGATCACCTGGTTGAATCATCTGGTACCAGAGTTCTCACTCAAATGTTGGATGGCCGGAATTCACTTTAGTCTGCTCATTCCGGCCGCAAAAGTAGGGGCCCAGAGAGCCGGTGACAAACATATCTGTCTGAACGAAGGGGGATTGTCCGGCGCCAGTGGCATCAAACGTCAGGTTGCCACGGACCTTCATGCAAATCGGAAGCCTCTGCACGCCATCCGCACCAAAACCCTGCGGTTCCGCTCACCAATGGTGCGGACTTGGCACCGCGCCGAAAACAGACCTCACGCTGAACACGTGAAATCAGTTTTCGCGGCCATATCCTATTTCCACGGCCATATCCGTTTTCACGGCCATATCCTTTTTCTGCGGCCGTATGGGCAAATGACCTCCGGCCTTCTTTTTAATACAATTGCTCCCCTAGGGCTCATTGGGTGAAGTCCATCTCCCAAAGACTGTGACGGGAGTGCTTGTGGCAGGAGTGGCTGTCTTGAAACACATCTATCTGACTGACGAAACATTGAATGCTACCGATGACTGGACATGGACGAGAGAGTCGACCAACCTCTCCTGTCGGAGCAACGAGAGAAGCAGCGCTCCTTCCCGGCCCGACAGACGTGTGTCGAGTCACAAAGAGCAGGAGGTTCACGTACCAAAAGGCCGGCACCACCGACCACGTGAAGTCACTGAGATTCTCCCAGGGCCAAAGCGATGTGTTCGCCAACAATGTGGACTTCCCCGCCGCCAGGAGGAACGGAATGCCTTGAGGCATGTGGGAAGAGAAGAAGAACACCATGGGCCCTGGATGTGGGCCCTGCCAGTCTCTGTAACGCATATATACCACTAGACCTCATACATCCTCATACTATCTATAGAATTATACTGAATTATACATGCTAACGTGGGTCATAACACTCCGGGTCTCTATCTAACATCAAGGCGATTGAAGTTATTTCTTGGGTTGAGTCGAGTCGTTGCGTCTTCCAACACGTGTCATCAGGGAGACAAGGTGCAGTGTCCACCCAAGCCGATCACAGCAGCGAGTGTATGTCCGGCACTTTGTAAGGACAGCCCTGAGAGTTCCCCTTGCCTTCATAATATACTTTTTTGTTTTCCGGTCACCGGTCCGGTCACCGGC